TTTATATTTGTCGAAAATGTAAGAATTTTTTTACAAAAATTGACAATCATATATTAAAAAAGATCAATAAAATTATATATATATATATATATATATATATATATATATATGATGAGGGTTATAATAACACCGATATAACTTTTACTAAGTATTACACCGCTCAATAACTTTATATTAAATGAGAATTTTGTAAATCCCACCGTTAAATTAAAAATTATTTACTCTTAAATCATATATACAAAATTTTATATTAATCGAAGATGATTTCTTATAAAACAAAATTAACGTAATATATACATTTCAAAATATACTAAAATATGAACATTTTGATTACCTTCACGTTGTTGTCCAATTTTAACAAAATTTAATATAAACATATAAAGTAATATGAACTTTTAATCTAATAATTGGATTTAAAAATTCACATTTAATATAAAGTTATTGAGCGGTGTGTAAGACTTAGTAAAGGTTACATCGATATTAGTATAACCCTCCTTTCTCTCTATACATACACTAGTGCAAAATAAGGTTACTACGTCACCCCTTTTACGTCGAAAATACTAAAATTCGACGTAACAAAAAATGCGGTGGCATTTTTGTAATTTTTGTGAACTTTTTTACGTCGGACCTGTTAGGGTCTGACGTAAAAGTCAAGTCTACGTCGGAGGTATGTTCTGTCCGACGTAGATTTGACATTTTACGTCGGACCCTATCAGGTCCGACGTAAAAAGGTTCGCAAATTTGAACAAGAGAGTGCGAGGCACACCGCGCGCATTCACTCTTCATCACTTTTCATTTTTTTCTCTGTAAACCTTTTCCCTCTCCTTTGTTACTGAATCATTTTTTTGTTTTTTACAGAGGGGTGAACTCTTTGTTACTCATTCGCACACTGTTGCCGCTCATCAGGTATGAATCAAGGTTTCATTAACACGTTTCTACTGCGCATTGCTACTGTGGCTATCTGTTTTATTCAATTTTTTGGTTGTTCTATTTGTATAGGTCGTTGGCGTTTTCTTTTGGGTTGTTCTACGAAGTAGAAATGACTGTTCTGCTTGTAGAACGGCCTGTTCTGCTTGCAGAACGGCCCGTTCTCCAAGCAGGACGACCCGTTCTCCAAGCAAAACAGGCCGTTCTGTTTGGAGAACGAGCCGTTCTGCTTGGAGAACGGGCCGTTCTGCTTGCAGAACGGCCCGTTCTGCTTGCATTCATATGTTTTTTTTTTGTTTTTTTTTACTACTTTTTACGTCAGATTTGGTAATGTTCGACGTAAATTTACGTCGGTTTGACAGGTCTGACGTAAATTTACATCTCCCGCTTTTACGTCGATATTTTTTCTGACGTAAAAAACCCAGAATATCCGACGTGGAATACCTCTTTTGTACTAGTGATATATATATATATATATATGAGAAGGCAAAGAATAAAAAAAATGACAAAGTTTCTTTATGTGTTTAGGTTTTAGGTCTAAACACATAAAAGAAACACATAAAGAAATAAATTATGAATATATATTTTTTAGGCCTAAACCCTATAAAAATAAAACTAGAAATTGGGCCGTTGTTAAATCTGTCAAAAAAACAAATGTGTTTATTAAATAAATAAATAATAAAAATAATTTTTGAAAATAGTGTTGATGTGCATCCGGCACTTTTGACACAAATTACAATTATATATATATATATATATATATATATATATATAAAAGACAAAAA